ATTGATTACAGTGACGCCTGGTCGTAGTTGAATTTGTTGTTGGACGTTGAGACTTATTGGCATTTTCTCTGAGAGCTTTTACTTCCGATTGGATCGTCGAGAATTCTGTCCTGAGCGCTTTGATTGCTGCGAGGACTTCGTTGTTAGATGATGCTGTATTTTCTACTGCCGATACTCGCGCCGCAGGCTTTTGCTTTACGTCAGTCGGCAACTTAAATTTATTATTTCGTTCGGTTTCGGCAGACACTGCTAAAAACATAGCTTCGATTAATTCTTCATCAGTGACAGYTTTTTTCGCCAACACAGGTCGAATTTTAGCGCGAATAGTTTCGTCTTTCAATCCAGTTTCTAATGCGTGCAGAAAGAGGCTTTGTACTGATGAGCTGTCGTAWGTGATACCGCTGTCGRCCTCTTTAGAAGCAAAGACGATTTTCTGGCGGATTGTTAATGCTCGCATTAAGAAAGATTGGGCATCTTCGTTTTGTTGTTGTGTTGCGGTAGTAAGGAGTTGGTATAATTCGGTTGCGCTCTTTTCATGGTAGTGGAAACGAAGGATTTTTCTGAGACGCTCTAGGGTTAGATCCGTAACGCTCTCCAAATAACTACGTAACTGTAATCCTGGTTGCACGGCTCGGATTACTGCATTTACTACTTCTTTATCGGAGTACTTTCTGTTGAGCCCCGTTTCAATTTGAGATATCAAGGATTGATAGGTTAGTCTWTCTTTTTGTCCTGGTTCGCCAATTGCTCCTTGAATCTTAAATTCTCGATAAAACATGGAGTTAGATAGTTGAGGCGACGTGAGGTCAACTACGGTGGCATTTCCGGCCTTCGGCGTGCTTGGTGTTTGTTTTACTTCTTTTACGGCAGTTTTGGATAGTTTTTGCTCAATTTCTTTGCGTTTGATTTCTATTTCCTTTAATTCATTCTCGAGTTTTTCGATTTCTGAATTTTTGTTGGCTTCAAACTCTTTGATGTGATTAATTAAACTATCAAGATAGCCAGGTTTCGCTTCTTCATCAACAGTTTCTAAGTTCGAGTCTATTTGCTTTCGTATTTCTTTAATAAGTCTTACCTTCGATATCCCTTCTGTACTACCAGCTTTTACCTTAATGAACGATGCAAGTGATTTTAATCCTTCCAATTCCAGTGACACTATCAATTGTTCCACTTGAAGTTCTTTCTCTTCAGCCATCTCTACAGCAAACAACAAACTCTGTCTTGACTTCTTCTTGCTTTCTCCAATAACTTTCAATCGAACAATGTCTTGAATTCCCGTCTGAGCCCCCAAATGTAAAGCTACTGATTTACTAGTATTTTAGTTGAAATCAGGCTGGCCACGAATACACTTTATTACAAGGATTAACTCTTGGTGAACTACACGTACAGACTGTATGCTACACACCTCTCTTGTCACTTGATACACATACTTAATCATTAACTATACAAGTACTGATTGCGTGACGGACTAAGTAAATATATTTAACTCGACATTTACATATCGGCGAGCCCCGCCGATACTCCGATCAGCAGAAGAAAATACCCACGAGCCCGCCAAAGTAGAACTTAACATGAACAAAAAAACGAAAGCACGAAAGCTAAAGTAATTTTGTAATTTCGACGGCTCGTGATCTTTTCTCGTGTTTTTCCGACCATCCCGCGCGGTTTCTTTCGCCAGCAAACCGCTGAAAAGCTATCGTTTATTGCTATTTATCGTTTATTTATTTTATTGTTATTCCACAATAGGCCTTTCTCTGAGACATGAGTTTGCATTGCATTGTGGTTTAGGTTCAGTACAAACATCTTTTGTTCATGCTGCCAAATATGGCGTTGTTTGTGCTGTAGCTAGACCACAATACACTATGGTTTTGTATTTCAGAAAAGGTCTATAATATCGCGATCATTTTGAGTGGACAACAAGTTGATAGTCCATGATGCCGTACGTATCCACCAAAGTTTAGGGCAAACTCGACAAAGGAAAGAACAATTTTTCTCATCCTTTTTTTTATTTTTTACTTTTTATTTTTGTTTTTATTTGTTTGTTTGTTTGTCTTTGTTTTTTTTGACGATTATGATGTACATCAAAGTGAAAAGGTTTGTCGTATGGAGAAAACAAAACTCGGGACTTAATGAGAACGGATCCATTGAAGCCAAAAGAGAGTGTTTAGCTTATGGTGGTTTTTCTCTATATTGACAGATATTCTATTTTTGTATCAGAGCTTCAAAGCAATCAGTCTCATATATAGGCTCCATTAAATACAAACTTCAATTCATAGATTGTTTGGTTTTCTGTGTTTTTGTCTGGGCGGATTATTGAATATTGCGTGGGGGATGAAACACCAACTGCAAAAAAAAAAGGATTTATAGCGTAATTTATTTCGTTTGCGAGGGWGTGTAGTAGTTAGCTTTTTTGATTTTTTGGCTCATTTCTCAACACCGCCCACCACCTCCCACCGCCCCTCTTTATAAATATTGCGCAGTCCCTTAGACTAGAATTGAATTCACTTAGACTAGAAGGCCAATAATTGCAGAGACAGCCAACGAATACGAAAAAAMGGCGCGCGCTCTGATTGGTCGCTGTACTACTTCAATGTCAACTGATATCCCGTATATAAACAAAAACAAAATGACGACTAGATATAGAAATTGTTTTATACATTTAGTAAAGATAAATATAAACACCATTATACGTTTACCAGACTTCCGATAACAATTATCATCAGTCGTCTCTCAGTTTCAATACAGACCATTGTATGATTCGTAGACCAATTCCAATGAATATAATCTTTAGTGTCGTGAGTGTTCGCGAAAAAAAATTTAATGTAAGTTAAAATTGAAATCCGGTTCAATATGGCGGAAAATGATATAGCGACRYACTTACAAGAGCAATATGAAAAGGCGAGTATTATATAGTTAGCCTAGCAAGATTAGAGGTAACAAATCTGACATTTTTTGACAGAAATCTTAAGATAATTGTACAGGATTTGTTCTGAAAAGATGGATTAAAAAATTGACACAGCACTCTCCCAGATGATTTGGAACTGGCAACAATACAATAGAACTTTTCAGTTTTCATTACCTTCTTTAGAAAATGACTAACTATACACCCTTTTAATAAGTGCCGAGGTATTGAGTTCTCCGCACTTGACGTCAAATTTATTCTTTTGAAATTTTTATAATACAAAATGGATTTCAAAAGAATAGATTTGACGTCAAGTGCGGAAAACACAATACCTCGGGACTTATTAAAAGGGTGTATAGATACATTGATCATGAATTAATCAATTCAATATATTAACGCGTCTGTGATTGGCTAATCACTACAATGCTCTATATAACGTCATGTGTAACTATATTTCATGTCTTTGTTGTTTTTCTTTACGCTTCAGATCGTCGAACTGTTTTTGCACTGAATCAATCCGATTTKCAAAGATAGAGAAAAAGAACACGTTTTGCTTTCGCACAAATTTAATTTTGCATAAATACTAATACAAACTTATGAAGGTTGCACGGTTTAAATGATTCATGCAGAGAACTTGGGTCGGTTGTTCAAAGAATGAATAATGCTATCCATCGGATATAGAGGATATTACATGGGCGCGCGGAGATACGGATTTTATCTTCGAGTGTTGAAAAGATCTCTCACGAGTGAGCGTAGCGAATTTAATTTGCGTACCGCGTGCACGATTTACTAAATAGAACTATTTAGTTTGTACATGCAGTTGCACGGTTTAAGTGCGATCACTCTAAGTTGTAAAAGACTTTAAGGTATTGGTGCAGTAGTCGGTATAGCAGTAGCACACCTGAATTCAAGTCATATTAAAAATCAAATTAAGAAAAATCAAAAATAACAACAATTTAACTGAGACTACATATACACGCACTTAGAGGGCTTTCAGTAAAACCGTGAAACACTTATGACTAAACTGTGCAAAATAGTACAGAGAAAACAAAAGAATTAGCATAAAATAGTACAAAGAAAACAAAAGAATTAGCATAAAATAGTACAAAATAGTATTACTAACTTTTTACGCATTAAATCCGTGAAACAAAAATAGGTAATTTTAAAATCATGCTTTATTTTCTATAAACACTGTTTGCTAATCACTCGATCACACTTAAACCGTGCAGCTGTACAAACTAAATAGTACTGTTTAGTTGTATTTAGAAAATCGTGCATGCTTTAAGTGCGATATCACTTACTGTCAACCTGACGTTGTTTGGTGGCATACATTAGTAAAACGCTTTCGCACAGGGCATGTATTTTTTATTTACATGTCTTCATTGATTGATTTGTACTCGACAATGRTCGCAAAGACTTACAGCAGATTGTGCACATTATCTAACTTTTACATAGATGTTTCTGATTTGATGACGGCAATAAAGATTAAAACCGTCATAACACGGTATCATTGCGTATATTCAAAACTCCGTAAAACGCTTTCGCACAGGGTATGTATTTTGATTTACATGTCTTCATTGATTGATTTGTACTCGTCAATGATCGCAAAGACTTATAGCAGATTGTGCACATTATCTAACTTGTTTCTGATTTGATGACGGTAATAAGGATTAAAACCGTCATAACATGATGGTATCATTGCGTAAATTCATAACTCTGTTGATCGTAATGTCATGCAACTTCGTAGTATTATTTTTGAAGTAGCAGTTTACATGAGAAGGAAACGCGCACGAGTTAAAGATGCCAAATAAATCCGTCAAAAACACGTTTTTTGATGCCTAAGGCAAAAAGCAACCAAAAGCGGGAACGTTGACCTCGTATATAAGTATGATTTTTAAATCTTTCTTTTCACGTCCAAAGATAAGAGCTATATTCTCTTTGTTTTTATATAGAATGAATTGTTGTTTTGTTGACTGGGTAGTTTGATTTATCAATATGGCAGCGGTTGTGCTCTCAAAATGACAAGTTTTTCGACAAGGCATGTCAAGAGTACTTGTGAACGCTGTCAAAAACACTCACTGCTTTTTATCTATTCCAGATTACAGCCAATCTCAAAGGACAGCTACGACGGTCATACACAGCGCTACTTGGTTTTACTGCCACCTTTGAGGATTCAAGGCAGCGGAGCCGCAGCCAAGAGATGAACACTAGCGTTCCTGCGCTCCAAGCGCATTCGGTTGATGCCGGCGTTATCACAGAGTCAGTTTTTCTCTGTATTCTTGCTATTGTCGTCATCTTTGGTAATGTACTCGTCTGCATAGCTTTTTACCGCGACAGAAAGCTGCGAACGACTACAAACTGTTTCTTGGTCAGTCTTGCTATCGCCGACATTGCGGTGGGTTCGTTCTCGTTACCTTACTGGATTTACTTCAGAATAGGTGAGTGTTTGAGAAAGGGATTTTCGTTTTGCTTTCTTCCTTTCTTAGTTTTCTCTCAACGGGCACTTTGAAGTGTCATTTACCAGGCGACGCGAAATACCGCGCAAAATTACTGCATGAAAACAGTTGATAGCACAAAATCTTTGTAGTCTTAATTTTACGTGAGACGAAATACGCAACTAATGAAATTGAGAAATAGTTGTAATTTCCTTTTATTTAAGAAATATAAAACGACGCGCGTGTCTCTGTCCTCTGATATAAACATGGTGGGAGTTCGAAAAAMAMRAGAGAAGCAAGCTTAGGAACACGAGCGTAGCGAGTGTTTCTCTTGCTTCTCGAGTGTTTTTCAACTCCCAACGTGTTTATATCAGAGGACAGAGACACAAGCGGGCGTTTTATATTTCTTTTATAAAATTTTTCGAGCGAAAAGACAATCTTGCCGGTAAGCCGTGTCTCTGTCCTCTGATATAAACACGGTCGTCAGCCAATCAGAGCGCGCGTTATATATCAAAAAATTTATAAATTGCGATAAAGCGTGCACTTTCAGAGTATTTTTTTACAATTAATAAAGCAATTATTGTGCATCAATTATTAATGGAAGTGAACCACTCCCGGCATATCTGAAAAAAAAGAAAAATTAATTTTTAGCTTGTTATTCTCATAAAAAAATTCCACAATTGTTCACAAGTTGAATATCTTCATAATCAATAAATAACATGTCATGAATTGCTTACTGAATCAAAGCGATTTTTCAGGAGATTTTTTTTCACTTAGTCTTTAAATCCACCAAGCGCTCTAATTAAAGACATTGTTCCCATGACGATGAGCTCAGTGTTTTGATATGATCACTCATTACAAGAGTTATTCAAGATGTAACGATATTAAACGCTATAAAATCACATTATTATATCAGATAATTGCCTTGATGAAATGCCTTGCGGACATAGATGTTTATATATAGGAATCGTATACAAGAAGTATTCTCGTAAATAGATCGTATCGTGTTCTAACGTGTAGAAGTCGGAGATAACACCGARAAATGCATCGATCTCCTAAACTTGTAAGAAGTTTAGGAAATCCGTTTTTTAGCCAATTCCAAACCGCTTTTATCAGTGGACTTTTGCGTAAATATCCACGGCCCCGCTGAATAAACAACTGCTTTTTTCTTTTTCTTTTTTTCGTTGAAAAAGAAGACGTATTAGCACACAGCCTTTATTTCCTTCCATTTTGCATCTAAGATGTTGTTTTTTTTCTTGTCAAGTCGACTTTTAAAAGAAGCAAGCTGTCATTACACTTTTTTGCTGCCAGACCAATATTGAATATCTTTAGAAAGGATGCTAATCAACTTAGTCTGTCATTGCCTTATAAAAGACACGTTATCACTTGGTTCGCCTCATATCCAAATTTACTTTATTTAGAAGCAAGCATTATTTCTTGTGAGAGTGGATTTTCTTGAAAACGTGAGATTTTTTAAAGTTCAAATTGTCGAAAACATAAAAATATTATCATTATACATTGTATTCTTTAGAAATATGCACACATTGATTYTGAAAACATTTATTCCACAAAGGCATACCCAAGCGGCGGACCCAGACCCGTCAAAAAACTACGTAATCTTTATCAATTATTATTATTGTTATCTTCATAGTGTCATATACATAGTTTTTTTGTTTTTAAAGGGACATAGCCCACCAGCATCCCTTTCGAGCTTTTTCTCTCTAATAAAAGCAAAAACTTACTCTTTAATATTAGCCCTTTATACTATATGAATGAAGATGCKGTAAGATTCGAGCTTTAAACCGATAGATGGCAACGGATTGCGAATTGATATTCGAAGTCACCTTATTTTCCGTAAACACGACTGCATTGTATGCTGGTAGACCATGTCCCTTTATGCGCACACATGCATCCAAGACCTTGGCGCCATTTCTCACCTACGAAAATTCGCGATTTTTGATTTTAAACCAWTCAAAATGCAACTTTAAACAATCAAACGATCGCAAAGGTTCTCGGACACACGTGCGCCTTTAAAGAATTCGTATAAATTTGAATGTGAATTGTCCTATTTTAATATGATGTCATGTGTACTGCAGTTGGGAGAAATGTAAATGAAATATGAACTGGTCTATTTGTTCCACTGCAGTTATGCCGCCAACCAACAGCGTCATTTACCAAATCTACATAACCTATGACATCATGTGTGGAACAGCATCTATCATCAACCTTGTAACTATCAGTCTAGAAAGGTGTCTTTCTGTCACACAGCCAGCCATTCATCGTAATTTGTCCGATTCTACTATCACTACAAGCATAGCTGGAGCATGGATTTATGCCCTAACTGTAGGAAGCTTGACTCATATAAAGAACTCCCAGGGGACCTGGTACCCACTATTCGTAAGCATCGCAAGTTTTTTCCTTCCTCTTTTTATAATTTTAGTCAATTACGTCATTATATACAGAATTGCACATCGCCGGGCGAGGAAAAGAAAGTCTAGATCTCTCAAACGAGAGATCCGCATAGCAGTGACATTAGGAGTTGTTATTATGGCCTTTATTGTTGCTTGGTTACCGTTCTTTGTGTTGTTACTCGTGTCAGTGTACTGTGGTATTTGCCGCGTTCCCAAAGCCATATATCCGCTGGTCAAGTGGATGCACTACAGCGGTTCAATGGTTAATCCTATTATATATACTTATCGTAACGATGAATTCAAACGATCGTTTTTGAAGATATTATGCGGCTGGAGAGAAGAGAAGCCATCAATACACGATAAACTATGTAATAATGATGCTTCCTACAAGGCACTGTGTGCAAAGTGCAAACGGTCAAGTAGTAACTGTAACTGTCCAATGGAAAGCAATGGTAGTACCAAAGCTCTAAATAGCGAAACACAAAGACATCGGTCATCTACTGGACAATTTTCATCGCATTGTGACAGATCTTGGAACAATGGTAACGCTGGCAGCCCAACAATTATCGGCTGTGACAATCACAGTGATCAAATTTGATATTGGTGTTTTTCAGCATCTAGAAAATATGGTCACGCCAATGCCAGCGAATCGATACACAAGGTATAAATTACAATAAATCTGTTGATAAAACTAGTGTTTACAGTAAAAGCATGGTATGATACAATGATACATACCGTAAGCTGCATTTTCTTGCAGAATTCAGATTTATCATAATAACGAACATTTGCTTAAAATGACGTCATGATGAAACTCAAATGTCTCATCATTATCAGCAAAACCGTGTGTTTTTCTTTCCTTATCTTTCCTTATATTATGTTTTTTTCTAAACATCTTCAAATTCAGATTCAAATTTATGCTTTTGTTGGAAACCCTCTGGCAAACCACTCCTATGTCGATGTCGGTCTCACATCTAACACTTTTGTTCACTGCATTGTCGGAGGTGGAAGGTCTTTCAATTTTGAAGGAGCCATTAGACTGTCTTAAAAATAACTCATTTCTATACTATGAAAAATATAGAAAAAAATCGTGAAAAATAAAACTGTCCTCTAGCATCGGCGAAATGTATCATCGTATTGATCCAAATATCAAGATGGCGGATGTAAAATAAAAACTGCGGAGGACGAAGTCTCTAAGTGACATTTACGCTATCGATAGCGTTAACTAAATATCTGTCTGAGATATAAAAGATGATTGTTGTTCGAAAAACAAAGAAAAACACGAACGAAAAACAACAGCAATGCTTAGTTTGTATTTTTATCAATCCCATGGTGCATTTCGCCGACGTTATCAGTAAGGAGATATGGAAATTTTTGACTTTTTTTACAAGAGCTCGTAAAATATTTGTAAATTATTCTCAACTGACATTCTGTAAGTTTCCTGTAAATTGCATTCCGTACTGTGTAAATCTCTACTTTCCACATAGACAATGTGAATTGTTTACCACTGAATCCAGAGTGTACTATAAATTGATCGTTTTCAACCATTCTCATGGAATTCAAAACATAAAAGACCGGCGGCCATGTTGGAGGAATGAACAATAGATACTAATGAGAAATCCTTTGTTAAAGTTCCTCCAAGATGGCCGCTGTGACGTATAGTGAAACGAAGAATAGGAACAACTCACCTATCTGAAATCGAGTAGCTAGTGAAAAATCATTAATACCGCTGAAAAGAACGGCCTAAAATTCGTAAATTTGCCAAATTTGAGAATATTCCGTTGCTTTTTTCAGTGCTGGTGATGATTTTTTGAATGGCTGAGTTATCCGTAAAATGGCCTATAAATGATGAATGAAGACGAAATGTTTTTATGGATAAATAATTCACAGGCTCGATAATGATCTTGAAAATAAGTGATCCGCTTCTTTCTATCGGAAAAATGAATCGTGACAACCGCAGAACACTAAAAGTAGCGAGCTATCCCTGCAAACTATCACTAAAGCCATGTTAGCTACTGCGGTCCAGTTTCCAGTTGTATTAATATGCCCTAATGGGCGATGTCCAGAACGTTATTTTCTCGAGCAAAACATGACGGTTATTTGTCCTCCTGCTCTTACAGTTGGAGTGATAAAGCGGTGTTCGGAGAGAATAGACTTCTTAACCTTTTATGCCACTTCTTGATTTAGTTTCAATGCATTGTGAGATCAGTTTCTGAAGAAAACAAAAGAAATCCGCCATTTTCTGTCCCAAATCCATCATGCAATGCATTCCGTATACGGTACATGACGTAAAAGCTTCAGAGGTCTATTATTTGTGAGCTTTTCCAGGCCGTATTTTGTTGAAGTTTTCATTGATGATTTGCACGTGAAAATGCTACTTAGATAAGAGTTGATATCCTTCTAATTGGTTAATGAACAATAGATATAGGTTTCAATGTTTTACGATTGACATTGTATTAGTGCTTTTGTGTGACTGTCATGCGCTTCAAGTAGTACAAAGAATGTTTCGAGGTTATGTTTCAGCGGACTACCTGGAGGATTTCAATAGTCTTCTTCACGGTTACCTGCGCCATCTTGAAAGGTAGCCGTGCCTTTGCATCGAAGCCCGAGACAACCGTTGAGCGTGCAATGATAGAAACCTTCTTTCACACCTACAGACAATTATTCACAGGTATCTATCATTGCACGCTCAACGGTTGTCTCGCTTCGATGCAAAGGCACGGCTACCNTCAGTAATAGTTGCAGCTTCAAAAGAGTTTTGAAAAAAGCACCTGGAACTTCTGTTTATCAAAGTTTATGCTCATTTTAGGAACTACTTCACAAAACTATGAAGATCCATGAGCGACGAGAAAAACGTAAACAAGTACTCAGTCTCCCAGGATACATTGCGCGCTCAAAATCCAAGATGTCTGCCGCGCACATTGGCTATTGTTCCACTTGAAGTTCTTTCTCTTCAGCCATCTCTACAGCAAACAACAAACTCTGTCTTGACTTCTTCTTGCTTTCTCCAATAACTTTCAATCGAACAATGTCTTGAATTCCCGTCTGAGCCCCCAAATGTAAAGCTACTGATTTACTAGTATTTTAGTTGAAATCAGGCTGGCCACGAACACACTTTATTACAAGGATTAACTCTTGGTGAACTGCACGTACAGACTGTATGCTACACACCTCTCTTGTCACTTGATACACATACTTAATCATTAACTATACAAGTACTGATTGCGTGACGGACTAAGTAAATATATTTAACTCAACATTTGTTCATGTTCATGTAATATGTTGTTTTTCGATTGTTTTATTCGGTAATAAGCTGAAAAAACAAAATGATCTGTGCATCTAGTAGGCAATGAAAATAGTTTGGAATCTCACGAGTTTTATCTAAATTCCTGCAAATTTTGAGGCTAACACAGTGTGAATACAGTGTAAAAAAGATCACGAAACTCAACTATCTGAACTATGCTTGTTCTGCTATTGGCATCTAGATAAATGACACTGTCTTCCGAATAGAACTATATGCAACTCGGACCAACTCGCGGCAACGAGGCAGCCGTTTTTGAGATTCGAAAAGTCAGTTAGAGTATTTCAAGGCTAATGGATAAACATGGATGAGACAGATAGATATAGATACATTTGCATTGTCCAAATAATGGTGATAATTCCATAATTTATCTTTCTTTGTTTTTAATTGCTTTGAAAAGCAGATAAAATATATAAATATACTGACTTTGATACTGACACTTGTGGTATTTTGGTGGATTCATCAAGAGCAGGCCGGAACTAATTGTGTTGTCATTTATTGGGGTTTCTTTCCAGAGTGTAGAACAAAGATTCGGACGGGGACAGTCCGATACCTCCAAACCCAAAAACCATACTATATTGGCGGGACGTCCCGTAAAAAAACTGGGGATGGCGAACTGATTTCTATTGCATAGGAAGGTGTAAAATACAATTTTCCTTCCATACCTGGAGAACATTTGAATTTCAAATGTCCGTCGAAATCATTTTTCCATCCGTGATGTTTCATTTTTAGGTTACAAGGTGGTGGTGGTGGTGGTGGTGGAGGCGGACTTCTCCGCCGACTGCGTCTTCTCGAGCCCCACCAAGCTTCAGATGGACAAAACATGTCCACTATAATGACCATCAACAATAACCCCACCACGAACTTCTTCATTGTTGGCTGCACTGCCTGAAAAAACAGAATAGAATTACTGTCTCTTGTTATAAACGTTCGTTTTTCCGTTCGATGGAAAAGAAATAACCCAAATTCACGTGTTTCAGCGTTTTTCAACAGATAAACTAAAAAATGAAGCTATAATTTTACCGGCTTGTGTATTTCCAAATAATCTTGTCATAAATGCAGGGCTTTCCAAAATATCTTGACAGCATCATGTAGACAAGAAAATAATAAAAATAGCGGAGCTCCAATGGTAAAGCGAAGAGAATGATTTATCAAGCAATGAAAACTTATTTATTATATTTAGCTCGAAAAGGTTATACAAAAGAAAAAATATGTTTATGAGAATTTCATAATTTGAATTAATTGACTTAGGACACTTAGGTCATTTTGTTCAGTTGGACAAACTTATTATAATCTGTCCATTGATTTAAACTGCAACTCCTCGGCAAAAATAGTCTACATACAAGCAATCAGATTAGATGTGGCAAAATATTGCATTGATTCACTGGATGCGTTAGTTGTTTGACTAGTGGAATTCTGCTCGGTTTATGAGCACGTGGCAAAGCTCGAAGCTTTCGTCATTCTCCACTTTAACTCGGGCTAGCAATAGGCTAGGTCGTTTTTATAGTTCTACCTTTTAGGCAATATATCTATCCATCTATCGTGTCGCGTTTGGTCCACAGGAAACTAGTGACTGTCCTAGCAAGCTACCTTGGTTTATTTATTGGTATACCAGAGTACTCCAAAGTGTCCCAGTGTCCTAGTGTCCTAGCAAGCTACCTTGGTATATTTATTGGTATACCTGAACGAGTGAGAGTTTCAACACACGATAAGCTAAAATTTGTATCTCCAAGAGACCATGTAATATCCTGACTATCATATCATTATATGCATGTGAAAGTAAATTATGGCGTAGAATAAATCTTTTTTAACTTCTAATTTATAATATGAGCAAGATGCGTTACTTTCACAATTTTTTCATGATTAAATTAATGCGCAGTCCAAAATTCTAATTGTTTATTCATGTACCGCGATATTCTTTTCTAGCGGCTTTACACAACGACGTCAAAACACCCGAAATATCAAGCAAGGAGTAATATCCTGTCTTTTCACAATTTTCCAAAATAGCTAGCCCGACTATACGCTCTAAGAGCGTCTAGTTTATTTTGACTTATGAATATTAATGAGTTTTATATAATAATGAAACATTCAATTGTTCAGCTTTTTCAAATAAATCACAATTATTAATATCAATCACAATAAACCTTTCTTTGTAAGTGGAAAGTCTTCAATTATTTCTTCTGTGGTCTGTGATTCTTATTTGAGATTATAATTTTTTTCAGTTTGAGCTTTTTGTAGGACACCTCGTTTCGAAATAAACGCTCGTAGGCGTTTGTACTTGTCGGTTGAGAGTCTCAACAAAAAAAAAAGAACAAAAAAAACAAACAAACAAGGCCTTGTTCTTGGACCGCTTCTCTCTAAATGATCCTCTCATGTCCACCACACACATTTAGAAGAAAGAACAATTTTTCTCAATTATTTCGACTATTTTCGCTTCATTTGAGATGCGACCATGGTCTATCATGAATACACCATAATTCAGTAGCAAATCAGAATGCAAGATTTGTAATAGACCAAAGTGTGGTGCATACTAAATATTTTAGTATAATAAATAAAAAAAAGTTATTTGCGAAGGGCAATGACTGATACATTTCTCATTTCCGAAAACTTGTAATTTTCACTGAAGATAACAACACTTACTACAAGGCTCGAATTTATCCAACATTTCGTAATTATATCATTTTTGATTTGTTAATTTTGTTTGTTTTTACTTTTTATCTATTTTATATTTAATTTTATTTGTTTACTTCTATTTTCAATACTAGAAGTTATGAGAAAACGAAATACAGCTCAGAAATTCAGACATAAAAGAGACGGAATCTATATCCAATTTTCTAGATCCACCCTTGATCAGAATACTTTCAAAAACACTTTTTATTACGTGTTTAGTCCCTTTTTTACACGTGAAAACATTGCCGAGAACGATGACCGTTTCGGGACTATTTCTGAAAACACTTATTTTTATGAAAAACGAGTAGATGGATCCTCAGTATATCATGCAGCAGCTATCATAAAAGTCTTGTCTATAAACATACATTAATATACTTACTTGCAATCAGAGTTGGTACGTAGAGTGCTGGAGTTGATCCGATCAAGTCAAACGTAACATCCAAATTGAATTGTCGTTATGTCTATAGATGCTATTATTGCTTGAAACCAGGGGCGGCGCAGCATTTTTTTATGTAGGGGGAAGGGGGAGTGGTTGCGGACATTTTGGAATTCGAAAATGCAGTGACTTGTATCAAGTGTATAGAACATGGCATGAAGCCCCGCACTCCCCCCACCCCTTCACCCCGCTCCTCTGCGCCGCCCCTGCAAACACCATAGTTACATCATCATTGTATATGTTAAAACGCTGAGAATTATTATTTATGTCTAACGAAGTTCATGTTTTCGAAACAAAATGATTCTTGTTCAACTCAACACGACTCCAACATTTGCCGACTCTGTTAATTTCCAATATGATTGTTGACGATCCTCTTCTAGCTTCTTCAACTTGATTCTTTGATAAAAATATAACTATGATGTTACAATTATCCGTTGTTAGTACTAAATATGAATTATCAAACCATAAAAGCTTGACAGATGTTATGATGCACATTTCTTCCGATTGCGATGCAAAGCAGGATAGAGTAAATTGATCAAATAGAACATACTAGACTTGTTTGTTTAGTTCATTGTTAGGGCTAAAGACCAACTTTGAGAAAGTCATGCATTACGTGACAACATGCATACAAAACCTTAATTTCAGTATCTCAGGCATGCACTAAGGTATCAATATAAATTGTTATTTACAGTACTTTATAAGAAATAAATCT